ACCATCCCATTGTTGAGATTGCAAGCTTTCGTCTCTCTGCCAACAATTTGGTTTGGTAGACATGACTTGCGGAAATACTTGAGGACGGTTAGGGCTCCAGTGGTCTAGATCTGCTTGGACTGTCTTGAAGCTGAGTATTCTGCAGGTAAAGAGTAATATGAACATTATCAGAAGATAATGATGGTGTGCTTGGGTTTTCAGCGCATTTCTTTGTATTGCTCATCTTGCTATGATAAAAAGACTGTTTACCTTTTCCAGTCTGATTTTTGACTCTCTAAGACTCGCACCTTCGGGTTTGAGATCTTTTAAAAAGCTAGGACAGGAAATTCTTGAAAGTTGTTTATCATAGTTGTTTTTCACAGATTGGTTCATTATGTTATTGTTCAGTGGCATACAACTCGTAATGTCGTAAAAAGGAAACAGGTGCAACAAATACAACTTGCAAGCTCTCCTACCGCTAGTTGTACTTGCAACTGATTCATATGCCATCGCTAAATAGCATTCACCAAGAAATTCACCAAAATACCCGTTTAAAAGCAAGATTGCTGGATTGCTTTATATTTGTTCAATTGGATTAACTCTTTTTTCTTTTTGTGAGATTCTCACCATAATGTTGACTAATAATTTGTTTCGTCTGAAGACTTGTTGAATTTGTATCTCGGTTACATCACTAGCAAGAATCAGTGATCTAAATCCGCCATTACATGGTGATTTTACGATCCAAATAGAACAGTGTTGAACTAAATTAAGGAGTTATTTCTTAGAAGTTGAAGTTGGGTTTGGTACTACTGGTAAATATTGTAAACCGTTAAGGTCTCACCCGATGCAATCTATAAATCATGGTTAAGAATTGAAATGCTAACACTTCACATATATCCGTCATTACTCAATTTAATTCTTACATTCTCCTCAGAGTCTCGTACATTCTCCTCAGAGTCTCGTACTGTCATTTACTCCCCTGCGCTACGCCTTAAAGAGTAATAAGGTTTTAAATGGGTCTGGGATTTCAGACTACCTCTATTAAATTCTTCTATTTTCATGAACAAAAAGGTGATATCTCACTTTTCGTATAAAACCTCTAAAAATTTGCTTTAAGAGATGAAAAGATTATTAGAATGTGTATTTGTCAAGTTTGTGTGCTTTCGCATCTTTTGGTTAGTGTAGGCTGCTACAATTGAGATCCATGAACGTTTGGAAGTAAAATAATTTCTATTGCAATCTAATTGCTCTGGCTAGAATCTTTATATATAGGAGATGTCATCAAAAGGTATCTTAAAATGGTAAAATTGGCTTCAGGAGTCCTGTACCCCACAACCCCTTGGGTCCCTTTGATTCCCAGCTGATATTTTTCATTTTCTCTGTTATATTTTCGTTCTGGGATCCTTTATGTTAAAAGCCAGGGTAAAATGAAGTTAATTGTCAAAGTTAAAGTTCAAAACAAGAGTCAAATTATCACTTGATTGTCACTTTATCAAATCATTATATATTATGAAATTTGTGTATATGATAATATTTTTGTTTTTCGAATTATGTTTATGGACAGAATATACATGTATTATGAAATATTTTCATGAGAGAAACATCGGGCTCGCGGTGACTCAGTGATGACGCTAGTTCGATTGTTTTATACTGATTTGTATATATACACTGTGTTATGTGAATTGATTATTTATGCACGAAAAAAAGGACGCTTGGTCGCTATCTGGAAGGTCCAAGTTCAATCAGGTTGGCTGAAACCTGTGGCCAACGCGCTGTTTACGTTAAAGATCCTTTGCCGCTGTCGGGCAAAATGTTCTTCACTACACAATGTCCATTTAAGAGCACAATCAGGGTCAGACGTAATTTACTTTGAGAACTTCCGTAAATGGGATGGCTTTATTAAGTGAAAATATGAATGTACCAAATCTAAAACTAATTGAACAATGACTGAAATGAACGTTTACTTTGAACACATTTGATAAATATCAGAAACTTCTAATTCCGTTTGATACAGAGTGGAAATGACAGACACAATCCAATTCCATGCTTTAATTAGTCAACAGGAAGGTCTAAGCTGCAGTATAACAGATTTTACTTTCATTATTAAAACAAGAAAAATATTAGTCATAGTACCAATAGCTTAATTTGAGCTCTACCATAATAATTTATGTGACGGATGTCGCACGCGAGACAAGTAACGTTTACTCATCTAATGTTAATATTTTAAATACAATGGAATTACGAGTAATATTTTACACTGTGTATGTATTTGGCTGAACGCCTCGACAACAGTATTGTATTCAGTGAATAGAATAGAAAGAAATAGACTGAAATTTTAATTCGGCTGCACACTTTGTAGAATCCGTTTGAACACTTATCCTTATAGCATCCGTCTGAACACCAAACCTTATAACATCTGTATAGCATCCGCCTGAACACTAAACCTCATAGCATCAATCTGAACACTAAACCTTATAGCATCCGCCTGCACACTAAACCTTATAGCATTTGTCTGTACACTAAAACTTATAGCTTCCGTCTGAAGCATCTGGTAACAATTCCAGCAGTCAGATGTTTTCCAAGTATTTTCAAGATTAGTGAGTGTCATGAAAGAACAGTTTTAAGGTTTGCAATTTTAAGGGGTAGATTTGAAGGGTCAAATTTCGACGGTCGCTGTCAGTCCTTCGTTTCTTACTTACTAGCTAAATTTGAACATTGACTTGATCAGTCGGGATCCGATGATAATCGCCAGTCGAATCATAATACAAATTACAAACGTTATAGGTCTAACAAAGAGATGTATATCACTTCTGGGGTTATATATGTATATGTAAATTAAATGGCTGTGTCTTGGTAAGAATAGGAGTACTTGAGATTGACCAAGAGGCATAAATTTAAGCTGTCATAATATCTCATGACTGATTTTACCCGAGTGTTCTGGCAGAAAAGTCTAAGCCTAAGTGGGATGCCTCAATCGGATTGCAACAAACTTTTGCCACCAATATTTGTCATGAGCTGGTTTAACATACTATCACCAACGAGTTGGGAATGACAAAGGTTTTTGTACGATTAGAAGGATGTCAAAGCTCTTGACAGGTTGATCAATTTATGCTATTTTAAAGCAGATGAATCCCGATTTGTAAGCATGGATGAGACCTTTCCTAATTAGAAAAAAGAAGCTAGCTGTTCGCCATTATCCTAGTAATGATAACGTCATTTCTGCCCTAAATGACCTTTTACAGGGTGGCTAAAGATAATTTCAAGCCTTGCGGCACCACTGGCAAATGTGTGTAAACCTGGAAGGGGACTTTGTAGAGCAATAAATAAAAACCGTCGACTTGGTATGTGTCTTTCACAGCTAGGTTCAGAACTTTTCAGCCATCCCTCTTTAAATATAAATTTTCAAAATATTTTTTTTAACTGGGCTGTATTTTATAGAGAGTATTGTTTGCATTTAGGTTTATTATTATTTCAGAGCCCTTGAGATCCTTTGATTGAATGATAGAACATTTAGCAATATAAAATCTATCTGAAGTCCATTTATTGTATCTTGAATGTATATTTTTATTGTCATGTGTTACCTCGATAATAGAATAGATAGCAGCCTCACGTCATATTACGCTAACCATAGCTAATATATTGTAGAATATTGCTAATTGTCAATAATATTGGTTATATAAACACACAATCAAACTCGGCATTTGTTATTGCACTTTTTAATTCATAAAGAAAGGGTCAAGCTTTGTTCTGTATTATTAAAACGGATTCGATTTTTTCAGATAAAATTGCCTTCAAATCTGAAATTGCAGGAGTAGCAAACATTTTTTTTCTGAAGGAGTGTATTTCAAAACGTATTTAACATACTAAATAAAAGGTCGTTATCCTTCTACCATAAAATATTATCTTTACCTAAACCAAAAATACAAAGTGTTAAAGTGTAAGCACTCCATCCTCTAGCCTGCGCAATCTCTAAGTTATTTGATGTGTTAATGGTAATCACAGGAAATTTAATAGTTGGACACTTAACCGATTTTATCTGGCATTCATCTTGTTGCTCATTACATGACTTAATTTTGTGAAAATTCCGTAACCCATATTATTATAGGCACGCCCTTTTCCTCGTTTTCTCGTCTCTTTCCTCGCTTCTTCGTGGGCGAGACGCCTAGTGTAGATATGGCCGCAACCCGTTTCCTATGAAACCACATGAATGTTTGTGAGAACTATGATCAACTTATGATCAATTTATCCAAAATTTGAAATACGATTTATAGCAGTTAAAGAACGTATGTTATTAACTTTTCGGAAAGTTATAAAATTCGGTAAAGACAATCTGCCTGTATCAATGTTTGAAAGTGAGAAAACGTACCACATGCTTAGTCAGTCAGACAGTTTTCGAACGACGTGTAGTTTTAATTAATCCAGTACATGAAATGAAACAAAATATTGATGAGAACCAACAGAGATACACATCACCGCCCCTTTTTACAAACTTAACTGGATTGGTTAATTATATTTTCAGATAATGATCCATTAGAAGGTCTGGCCTCGGAAACCTTAAAGCGCTAATTATTCCTCCTCGGAGAGACCAATAAGAAACGAGATAGACGTGTGGGTTGTTCATTAAATTCTCCGTTGTATAAGAACAAGTTAATTTTTGGTTCATTCACTTTAGGAGCAATAAAAACTAGGTTGGGAAAATTGTTCTAATAATGTCGAGTTTCATGCTCAATTATATTCAATATTGTTTTTATTGTCACATTATATGCCATAAATTCATAATGGATTTATTGTATCAAGAATTTTAATATGAAATCGATCAGAGAAAAAGCCAATAAGGTCTGAATATTTAATATAAAAAATTTTATTTTTCAGTTCAGAGAGTTAGTCAGTCCAAAATGACGACGGTATCATCTCAGGAGTATACAGAGATGGTTTACAATACCACAGAGATGGTGAATATCAGCAAAAACTTTGCCCAATCACAAGAATATCAGATAGGACAGCAAGTGACCGTGGTGTTTATGTTCTACGTCTTGCCAGCCATTATATTTGTTGGCTTTGTGGCCAACGTTGTCTCGATTTTCATTTTCTTTGGAAAAGAACTGCGGAAGTTCTCATCCAGTGTGTATGTACTAGCTGTGTTATTCGCTGATACAGGATTTCTGGTGTCTCTTTTATTTGTATGGCTGGAGGTTCTAGGTTATGGAATCAATCATACGGTGGGAATGTGTCAGTTTCTTGTATATTTTACTTATGTTTGCAGTTTTCTCTCGGTTTGGTACATGGTTTGTATAACAGTCGAGAACTATATCACTATCTGTCATCCGACCAGAATTAAAGATATGTGTACCCAGAAAAGAGCACGGATTGTGACGGTCACGCTGGCTGTAGGACCGGCTCTATTATATAGCATTACTCTGTTCGCCAACGCTGTACGATCAGATCCTCAGTCGGGGTTACAAAGATGTGATATAAAACCAGACTTCATTTTGATGAATTACATCATCACGTATATTGACTCTATTTTGACTCTGTTAGTTCCTTCGTTAGCTATGACTCTCCTATTAATAGCTATCGTTATAGCCATTTTCCATTCACTCAGAATAAAGCGCAAACGAATTATCAAGGGATCGAAACTACAGAAAAAGATGGATAAATGTCCTCAAGTGCGGGTGGCCAAAATGTTATTTGCTCTCTCTGTCACATATCTTATATTAAACATACCAAGTCATGTTATCAGATTGTATTATTTATTACGACCATTAGACACTAGTTCCTCGCACCAAATTAGTTTTACTGAAGGAATGATACATCACATCTTTTTACACGTGTCTTATTTAAGCTGTTCCATCAAATTCTTCCTTCTCTACGCCTTTAGTTCCAACTTTAGAAAACGAATTCGCGAGTTTTTACCATGTTTTGTGTATACACCAGTCTTAAATGGCTATCCATCAACAACTGTGTCTAATGTATGAAAATAGACATCCTACTATAAATATACTATCTACCTGACAAATCCCTCTATGAACACTGTAGCTGACATCCGGCTGTTGAGTTTTCTTGATGCCAACGAAATGACAACGTAGGCGAAACGACCTAATTTTCTCTAATTTCATGGTTTGATTGATTAAGATGTCAGTTCAATGTGTATCTACTCATTATATCCCAGTCACGTTATAGCAAAACAACAATATGTACTTCATACAATACAAAGTATGTGAATGACACCAAACTTTCCAAGATAACTTTTGTAATGGATGATGGACGTTACTGATATTTTCAATATTATAGAAGTAGTGGTAAACTGTTATGTGAGGGACAAGTCGGTGTTTGGTGTTCCTTAAATATCAGCAAGAACATACTATGTACTTGATAGTAGTGACAGAAATAAACAGATCCTATGCGATCCATTCGGAATTCGTGAGATTATTGGTCAGATGGTAAAATATCATGATATCGGATGAGATTGATGATAAACCTCATTTGAAAGTAACTTTAAGGCGTGCAGTTCCGTAATAATTCGCTTTCAAGCAGTTAACCATAACATGTCTAAAAAGCAACTTTTTCTATATATCGGAAATTACACTACGTGATGTATAAATTTTGGAGAAGGAGTCGGCTATATGTCACGATATGATATCAAATTTACATCAACTTTGTTAAACTGATTACCTCTGATATGAATTAGGACAGAAAATCGTATAAACTCCAGGATACGTTTAAAGTTTTTCGTTATCGAGTATACGAGTTTAACCCTTTTAAACTATTATTTTAAAATGTGTTGTTGCTACCAAGTTCAGATGTAGATTGAAACCTTTAAAGCACACTCTGTGTTGGTAGATAATGTACCTGTTAAAACAATTTCTGATTCAAATTCATATGATACTTCTTATTAATAAACATAAAAAGTTCATAACATTGATTGGTCGTTATTTACAATGAAAAGCTACTTTATTTTATAACAAAGAACTATAAGACAACATTGACCGGAAGCTAGTACACTCTCGGGTCTGTATAATTCAGTGCGTCTACTTTGAATAGTAGATATGTTATTTTCTGTATTTTGAAAGATTATTAAGGGTTTTCTTGTATGTGTATCGACATTGTTAGCAACAGTTTGCACCATTCTAATTCCCTATCAGTTTCCCCGATACACATAAATTTTTTAGAAAACCTCTTTACAATCCCTTTAAAGCAAATTTTTTCTTATGTGAATTAACGTAAAATTGTGATATAGTTGGATGAAAAGTTATTGCCCTTGATTTAATTAAAAGCACGTCAATATTGACGTCCTGATGAAATTTATAGAGATAGTCATAATATTTATTATATCTTGTAATAAAACAATCAAACAATTTGAACTTCAAATACATTATGAAGTTCTAAATATAATAAAACTTGTATTTTAGTTATTAGTAGAGACACTGTTATCATTTTCTGCCAACTGCCAGTGGGCGTATGTTACCTTTACTGACAAGTCTTTTACAACGTCATAGGTTTGTTTTTTATTAATTGTCATATTCAGATGCGTTTATTGATTAATGTTTTTCGTGAACTTGTGTCGTTCCAAATAACACAAATCTTGTCAACTGGCAAACAAACGTCTTCAAACAAAACGTATTTGAAACTGTTTTTGCTATAATTCCTCTTTATTTGTACACGCCTTAAGATTATTTAGTCGATTTAGATTATATTGAAGTAACTTAGAATCTGTAATATAATTTGTATATTGAAAATAAATCATCTATTTTAGTCTGCGGTTTTGTTTAATATATTTATACCTCGACATTACATATATAATATTCTCGGGGAAGTATCAGTCACTCTGGTACATTTCCCTGTCAGGTCGGAGGGTTTGTCTGGGCGTTTGGATGAGACAATACAACCCTGGCCCCATGAGCCACAGGTTGTGCGCGTTTTTCAATCGAAAAAGAGTAAGCGTTTACATTGGCTGTCCACATACCTTTTTCGAAACGGTTACCATTTCTTCGTTTTGTCAAGGTAGGCCAGGCTTAGCGCAGGTGCTGGGGTACCAACACAATATTTTCTTAACAGATGTATAGTATTATTTCAAAGCCATTCTGCATGGTACATTTACATCTCCTTTTTATTATCAAGCTAATCTATGAAATTATTTCATTTAATATCAGTTTCACATCTAAGCCGTTTATATGTTATTTATAGTCTTTCCCCCAATACTCGTTAGATAATATGATATCTAATGACTCTTAGATACATCTGGATTAGAGTACATGATGGTCAAAACAAAGGGAAAAATTATGTAGGATCAATTTCAAATTTCTTCAGCATTGTGTAGATACAAGACATAATAAATGGACGTAGCTCAATGGAACAACACTCACTGATTAAGTTTTATGCAACGTTTCGATGTGTTTCTTTCATTGTACTCAGATACATAGTGATACAAACTATATGAAAATTTGGCATCAATTAAGATCTGTAGAATAAAGAACACAGGGGTAACGCATTTTTCTATTATTTATATAACCTACTTAGTAAATGAACCTGTTTTCACAGTGAATTCACCATGTTTTTTTTATAAGAGCGGGGAAGGTCAATAGCGTTTCACATTAGGAATCTCTACCATGACAGATGGTCCCCCACTAAGTCAATCTGCAAACACCACTTTATCTCTTGTGTTTCCGTCGTAATTAGTGCCAAATTTTTATATAGTTTGTATCACTATGTATCTGAGTACAATGGAAGAAACACGTCGAAACGTTGCATAAAACTTAATCAGTGAGTGTTGTTCCATTGAGCTACGTCCATTTATTATGTCTTGTATCTACACAATGCTGAAGAAATTTGAAATTAATCCTACATAATTTTTCCCTTTGTTTTGACCATCATGTACTCTAATCCTGATGTATCTAAGAGTCATTAGATATCATATTAAAGGGCCACGTTCGATCAATCGTCCCTTAGCCTCAGAAAAGGAAATTGTTTAGCTAAGTTAATCAGTAATAGTGTTCACAGCTGTCGAAATATCACCCTTCTTATCTATTTCTATCCTTAATTATCCACGTTTGAAAGATAAATTGACGACATGCATGGTATTACGAATACGGGTTTTGACATGAAGTATGACGAATGGGGATGTGGTTTGGACTTGATGGTAGACAGGTAGACAGGTAGAGAAGTGGTAAAGATAGAAATAGAAAGTAAAATTTCTATAGTATGGGGGATTATGCGATTGTCGTCCAGAACTCCCAGTAATAAGGATTTGACCTGTGCCATTTACATTGATAAAACAGAAAGTAAGTTTCATTACTGAAACATTTTTTATCGATTTTAATTTAATTGCCTGAAGATTTATTAGACAATTATTATGGAAAAAGTCATAAAAATCCATAAAAAAAATTAATAAGTTTTATCAGTTGTAATGATTTATGTCTACTAAGGTCTACAGTAAGATAAAGTAGATTAGTGTTTAGTATTTAGAATATATTTGAAAGGGCCAACATGGTTTCATTTTTTATTCACTCAAATGTATCTGATAATAAGCATTAATATTTTGAAGCATATTTAAACACTAATCACATTTTACCTAATTTAGAAATACATTGTATTCATTCACACAAACACATTATGAAAAACAAATGGATAAAACTAAAAAAAAAATGTTTTGATTATTTTATGTTTTTAAACCGAAAACATCGTAAACAAAAATCATTTTCAAGTGATTACTGCATTTGGCAGTTCCGAAATCGATTGCAAGATATTGTGATCTGTAGCTATATTAGAATAAAATTTAAAATCTTTATCGATTTTATTCTTTTAAAGGGACGAATGCGCTAATTTATGGACCAATCGTATCTTAGTCTCAGAAACGGTAATTTTTAATGCCCTCGATGTAACCCCACTGTTTATATGATACATATCATTGTTTTAGATTATATCTAATTCATTAAACATATCTTTTAGAATCATCGAATGGTGTTAATATTTTTATGAAATCATTGCAAGAAATTGTTGTTGCTGTTCAATGCTCAGAAATCTCTGCGGACCAATCCGTGCGAGCTACTAGCTGTGGAAAAGGACCCAAAAGTTAAATAATGGGAGGTAACCCTATTTTATCAATTTCTATATCAGACTACAACTAAATGGTTGTTTTTTGTCGCGACATATTATTTTCCTGTATGTATCATATGTGATGAATAGAAAATGAGTTTTCACCAATATAAATTATTTTTGTGGGCATAAAATAGCAATTTATTATGCATGTTTTAAGAACGATAGAAAAAGGAAGCCAGAACACTTTTAAAGTTTGATTTCTTGTCCCTCAACAGAATAACAAATCCTATAATAGAGATTTATATTGTCACACGTACCACAGACTGTGTCGAATATGTAATCATGATAGATCATTTATAGCTCAGAGTGAGCAGTTTTATAAGAAATGAATATTTACACAAATTTAATTCACTTCTGAAAACAATGAAAATATCATAAAAGTCAGTGTTATTTCTTTCCCTCTACCATGATAATATGATAACCGTGTACTGTTTTAACTGGGGGGTCTGTATAAACTGGTGAACCAACTGTACTATTAGGTAGATTGAAGGCTGCATCTTGAAATGGTCCTACCATACTTCCTCTTGTCATCCAACCTAAATCACCCTAAATAAAAATTACAATAATAACATTATGTTTCACAATGACATTGTCCAGATCAGTCAACACTTCCAGTCCTCTTATATGATAAGGTATGATATGCAGATGCTATAATCCTAATTTGGAGTTGGATGCAATATCTGCTTGTCAGATATTATATTCAAAGAAAGCAGTTCTGCAATTATTGTCTGGCTAATAAGTCACATAAGTACCTGAACATTTGGATTTAAAGCAAAAAGTTTAAGAGATATATTGGTCTAATCGTTAGATTTCCTGCACTGATTATTTTAATATAGATTCTTTAAATAACTTTAAATACTTAGTAAAATAACGGATGTAATCGAGATCTATTTTGGGTGTTTCTGAAGAAGGCAGTAAGCCGAAACGTCAAATAACAGGACAATAATATAGTTTAGATTCTGAAGATTACATAGTGTGAAACTCTGAGTAACAACATGATACAAGTTCTGTTGTAATACTTCTAGATTTTTAAATATACTTACCCCTGACCTTGCTTTATCTTCACTATATTGACTGGCTACTTCATTAAATTTACCACCATCTTTTAATTTCTGAAGAGCTTCTGTAATTTTGGAATGTTTTTCACATAATATATGTCGTACCTAAATTAAAATGAACAACAATGAAGATAACTGAACATGTTCTGCTCTTCCAAAGTAACAAATTGCCAATTTCAAACTCAAAGAGGAATGACAACATGCCTCAGAATACCCTGTAAGTCTAAATTGCCCAATTTCCTACGTCTAGTCTATCTTAATCTATGATAACGAGAGCTTGAACGATAATAGGCCTACAAGATGACACTTTTCTTTCTTGCTTGCTTGGCATTGTTTTTTAGTTGTAGGCCTAAAACTGCACTTAACGATAGAATTGGTTTCATACTTTGATAGCTGTTCCTGTTCCCTTCTTTTCTTTTGGTTCTTTTCCTCCTTCTGCACCTTTCGACTTAGGTCCTCCTCCTTTATTTTTTGGCATTTTCTGTGAATTTCTTCCAACAAAATTGATCTACGATGATGGGAATTTCTCTCTTTTGAGCAATGGGGAATCCCTTGGAATCTCCCTTTTGACGTAAAGTATATTTTCGATTACTAGGTCGGAACATGTCTTCTATTGCAAAAGCAAGTCATGCTAATCTCGACTATAATAAGTTAAAAATAGACATCTCGTGTATAGCGTTAAATGTCGTTATAATGCGAGAAGATGAGGCAGCTGCTGTGAGATTTGTCATCCATTGAAGACTGGAGAAGAAAGAGAAACATACCGGCAACCGAAAACAACGTTTTTTAGCTGATTTTCGGTGAAGATGGATCACGAATAAGGTGATGATTATGTCATAAATTTACTGCCTTCAAAGTTTGCAACCGTGATAGTTATTTGATTATGAATGTGTAGTTAAAATTAAAGAATTTGGTTTGGCATCCAAAAATTGGCAAAATCAGGAATAGTGTCTGCTGTGTAGTTACACTATAGGCTATGTTGACTGACTGTGCAGTAAGCCATTAGTACTGACCTCTTACTCCCAGTCACTGTTTATTTTTAAACCTGAACCTGAGTACATCTTACAGGCCCAACCCTGATATATATTTAGAATAATGTGGAATCATTCATTCATTGTTGATAAAAGATATCTAAATATTACGCTAAATGGCCTGGGTATATCATGTGGCTAGGCATATTCTCAAAAAATACTTACAAGATCCCCATAGGCTTAGTACTGTTTCTTATTTAGTAAGATTTAGTTTGAAGTTTATAAAAATATAAGGTTTGATGATTTTGCATTTCATTTATCCATCAAAATAACTTGCATTTTGGAATGAAAATTCTCTTTTGTAAAATCACATTTCCAAATAATATTGTTTGCATTTGTTCAGTTGGCATTTTCATCAACCTAAACACAATTTAATACTCTAGGTAGTATTTTAGAGTAAACATTTAAATTTGTACAATAATGTTTGACAAAATTCAAGTTTGAAAAAAATGAATGTGTCTGACAAACAGAAAGTGTCTACATACACGGTTCCTGAAATCATGATGTAATACGATTATTTGTAAAATGAGAATCTGGTGTAGTCAGAAACCTTATCACAACATGATTGATGCTCATTCAGTGCACATGGATTCTGTATGGTTCATTTTAAACAATTGTGTATCATAATTGATAATGGTTCACCCTCTGTTTATAATATTACACCATGATATGGTGTATTATCTTCTCATCTCAATGAGTTAAACATCTATTGTCCTTATTCTCATATCACATGCATTTTTAAACTCATTTCAAAACCATTGTTATTATTCTGATCAAACAATTAGCTTTTCTTGTGCAATAAACCCTCTGTTGTTTATTTCATTTTTTCTAAACATCAAATTGAAAGGGTTTTCATTATAAAAATACAATGAAAGAAATGCATAATTTTTAGACTTAAACAGATTACATTCATCTTATAAAGACAACCTAGTAGATCATGAGCAAATTGTAATTTTTACTTCAAATTTTCTTCAGCCCCAACTTTGAATGCAAGTCAGATGAAAAGTTGTTAAACTTGGCCTATGGTGGTCAAGTCATTGAGATAGGTTTTTAAAGTGGCATCTATTCAAATTCTAGGACAAAAGGTAAGATGTTGTTATAATTTTTGTATATTTTTATTAAATTGCAAGTAAAATCCATAGTATTATTGTCTTTGAAAAATCTTACTATGATGAATGAATTTATAAATATATAGAGGTATATTTTGACTTAACTTATTGCATGTTACTTTTCTGGAGCTGTGTGAAAAAAATCAAACCATGCAAATATCAGGGAAACAATATACCAATATAAATTTTAAGAATGGAGCTCGAAACTGATTATCTAGCAATAGAATGAAAAAATAGAAACTAGACTTTTTAGAGAGACTGTGAAATTTTTTTAATGATTTATCTGTTTGAATTTCAGTGTTAATATGGCTCAAGGTCGACCTATTAAATGTGTAGTAGTAGGAGATGGTACTGTAGGTAAAACTTGTATGTTAATATCCTATACTACAGATAGTTTCCCTGGGGAATATGTACCTACAGTGTAAGTTACTTATATTATAGACATTCCAGTAGTGCCCAAAGAAGCCATTCTCAGTAAAGAATACAATAATAATGCTTCACATCATCTTTGTTTAATCATACAAAATTTCTGTGATTATACAATATATGTGTTCAATTAAGGTTGATTAAGCATAATATATCGGTATGTTCTTCAAGTTGGTAAAATAATGAATGGAACTGATGTTTGTGAGAAAAATGATCAATTCTCTTGTTTTTAATTTAGATTTGATAACTACACAGCCAACATGATGGTAGATGGCGTACCAGTTAGTTTAGGATTATGGGATACGGCAGGTCAGGAAGATTATGATAGATTACGCCCCCTGTCTTATCCACAGGTTTGTATTATTATTTCAATTTTAGTTTTCCATTTTATGTAAGAGAATAAGCTTATGTTATGTAATGACAATTTTGTTGATATTTTGGACCCCACATTACACAGCAGATCTAATATGCAATGCAATTAGTTGTTCATTACAGTTTCTCTACTAAAAAGTCTGTTAAATAACTTCAGAGACGGCTAGTTATGGAGTAAAATATACCATAGCAAATTTATTTGTGCCATTATAATTACCATATAATATATGATACTTTATCAGCATAGATGTAGACTGCTAATATTGAAAATAACCTAAAACTTCATTGACACATATTTATATATGTTCCAGCTATCCTGAATATTATTAATCTTTAATATGTTTTCTCTCTTGCAGACAGATGTATTTTTAATATGTTTTAGTGTTGTGAGCCCCTCTTCTTATGAAAATGTTTTGACAAAATGGAATCCAGAAGTGAAACATCATTGTCCAGATGCCCCTGTTATAGTTGTAGGTAAGTAGAGCCCACTTACTATGAGACTACTTGAAAATCAAATAGAAAGAGACCACTCAAAATTATGCAGCTGAAGGATATTGTTCTAAATAATTGCTTTGATTTGTTAAAACTCAATTTTAGCTATAATGAATGTCCTGGTATTGGCAGCAATCTAAACTTTAAATAGACAGCAAATATATTCACTACAGTATATCTTTAATTATTTCCCTGCAAAATTTCAGAAACTGTTTAAGGGAGCTGAACATATTAAGTGTACATCTTTTCTCAAAGCTCAAAAGATATGATTTATTCTGTTTGTGTCTAGGTACGAAAATAGATTTACGGGAAAATAAAGAAGCTATAGGTCAATTAGCAGCGCAAGGTTTAAACCCTATTAAAAGGGAACAAGGTATCAAGTTATCTAATAAAATAAGAGCTATTAAATATATGGAATGCTCAGCTCTTACACAAAGGGGTCTTAAACAGGTATGTTACAGTTTGATCTTTTCTATTTTCTTGCACATGAGCTGCAATATGTGGTTCAAATTTAAGAGAGGCAAATAATAAATCATTGAAATCTGACTGCTTTTGTACAACTTCATCACAGTCGTAATCTGGACTTGTCTCCCTTGGATATGGTGATTTTTGGTATATTGACAGACATCTTTCAGAATCATTTTCCAGAAATCGAATAATCTGCAACCATGACAACAAAAAAATATAGAATATCATTCTTCTGCTTATCAGGTGAAACATTTATTCAATGGCTTAACTCGATTGTTTTTGGTAATGAAACTTCAGGAAACGTACACGATCAAGCTCTGGTACTGATCTGATATTATTAGTACCATGATAAATAATAAATGTCTATTGTTGCAGGTATTTGATGAAGGTGTACGAGCTGTTTTACAACCTCAACCAATAAGAAGAAGTCAACACAAGTGTCAGTTACTCTGACTTGGTTTATTACATGATAACCAGGACTTATATACTCATTGTGTATTATATTATTATAAACTGAACAGTGCTTGATGGTGGCTGTGTCAATTTAACTACTTCCTGTTTGAACTATTTGACAACATGGTCTAGGATTTTTAAAAACAGCTTTGAATGGGTAATATTATTGGATCTTGAAATTCGGGATTCCTGATTGTGATGTACTGCAACTTTACTATTAATCTTACTTGTAATTTTACACTGAATTTGGATTGGATCCATCATGTTCTTCATCAATTAGACTTGTAAATTGTTTTGACATTTTTGCATAATATAAAAGTGTCTTTGAAGAAAGAAATTGTTTGGAATCAGCCATTTAAACACTGAGTAAGCTTTGTTTATTGAAAACTTTTGTATTTCTAAGAATTCTGGTTAAGGGCACCAGGCTGGATCATGTCACAACATTTGCTTTTTTGGTGCAATTGGTATTTATTATTTAAGTAAGTACTGGTATATCAAACTACTCCTTTCAATTGATATTTTATGGTATTTGTTATCTTGACTAGTCTATTTATTTACCTCAAATATTTTACATTACTATTGAAGGGTGGATTATGTATTGGTTTTCATTTTGTGCAATCAATCCGAACTGACTTACAACAATCAAACATATATTATTGCCTTTATGTTATACCCAAAGAAACCTTGGACCTGTCTCATTTCATTATATACCTGTAATAAATACCAAAATATTATATTGTATATTTGATATAAAACACACCAAAACTTGACATAATGATTTGTATGAATGTCATGTTATATACTCAACAAATTACCATATGGAAGCATTCAAATAATTGACCTGATATATAATATAAAATTAAAAGTCTAATGATGTACTACTATGTTCTACTACACAACTGATTACTCATAAAATCTACTATTTATTATTGCAATCCATCAAGTAGCTAGTATCTTGTTGTTCAACAGATGTATAGAAATGTTAATAATGATCAACCAAATACTGTGCATAAATTCTTGGTAAATGTACTTTAAGTCACTTTTAAGTTATTGAGGAAATTAGTCTCATCATACTGTTTTTGGTTGACTATTACTTTGTTAAATATATTTATAGGAATGTCTAGATCAATTTGTTCTCGTGTTTTTCTGCAGAAAAAACAACCACAAAATAAAAAAGTTGATTTTTAAAGACTTGCTATTCCTAAAAATATGTCAAGTTTTACATTTTCCAATTTCCTTTATCACTCAAACAAGTAAGTTTCATGTGGTGAAAAAGAGGAACCTTTCTGCTTTTATTGTTCGTTTCATGTCATTGTTCTAACCAGACATTTTACTAACTATTAGTGCTTTATATTGAATTAGTTGTTGTTTTTATTGTTATATAACCAGCATAATTTACAATACTCAAGTAAGCTCACTTATGTTACGCTCACACAATACATCATAATATTCTTATAGGACATGCAGAACATTTTCACAGTAGAGAAGACTTTTACTGCAAGCTACAGATATTCTGACGGTTTAGTGGTTTGTTTATATTGCAAATGAACAAAGTAGCTGTATTTTTTAGTGTGTCCAGTTACAAGTGTGACTACGACAGAGCATAAATTGTGACATAATTGTGTTGATGATCTGTATTATCAAGGGTATTCAAAATTGAGTTTTGTAAAGAAATGCCATATTATGCATATTGACAGTAATTGTAGTATTTACTAGATTAAACTTATTTTATAGAATATCTATGAGCAATGGATCTGACTTTGTTTGAATTGTATTATGTTATATATCATAATTGTATGTTTTGTATATCATTTGTCTTATATACAGTCTTATTTATTATTGTATTATTATTAATACCAGTTAGTTAATAACCAACTTAATTATTATTCTCTCACTTTCTTTCATTTAGTGCGCTATTTTATGATTTTGGCATTTATGAGTACATCCAGATAAGGAATAAACTTTTCACCACCTTTAAGGTCATGATGCTTTTGCAATATTTTTCCACAACAATATTTTGATATGGCATACATACAAGTGTATAAAGACTGCTTTACTTCAATGGCAGATATTGCATTTAATTTGTGTTTTGTTTTCATGGCAGTATTTTAAATGTAGCAAATATTCCTACAATACCTTTTGTTTGTTCTGTTTTTTACTGTTCCCTTGCTGTGTCTGTTAGTTTGAGAAAATGGCAAGCTATATCAATCTGTTTGGTAGTGTTTTTATAACTTAAGTTAATGCTGTTTTTCAATTACTATAATCTTTTACTTGGGTTCCAAGTTAGTTTATTATTTTTATGTTTGAGTATTTAACTATTCTCTCTGTTTTGATCACGAGATATATCTGATAATTGTGTTTAGCAGCTGATAGAACTACATTTTAACTCATTTAGCTTTTTCAGAATGATCTGTCTTCAGTAATCCAACTCATTAATGAGAAGCAGAAAGTGGGATATTTTATTCTATTCAGAATAATTTAGTGTCAGTTGACTGGTAGGTCAATCTTTCAGCAGGACAAATGAAACTGTCATCACTTTCATGAGTTACAGGAGCTCATTTTCTTTTAGTAAAGTGAACTTCTGATATCATTCTGAAAGTGCTGGCTAAAATGGGTTTCTCTCAGCTGATTCAGAATAGTTCATACCAATGATTCTCAGTTTCCCAACATTTGACAAGGAGTAGTGTCCTCTACTCATATTAATATTATATTGAAGAAGGTTACCTTTATCTCAAATGGTGACATTATTTTTTCTGTGTGTTTTTAAAAACCAATTGACTGTAATGTATCTAAGTTAAAAGAATCATGATATTTTTAATAAACCTGGTTTTTAAACCAATGAATTGCTTGTTAGATAGTTTATTTGAGGGTCTTTAACAAAAACAATGAAGAATGTAAAACTTGTACTCTTCAAAGTATAACTCTATGGTTGTACTAAAAAGTAATTCAAGATCAATCGCAAGTCAATAACCTTCATACGCCACAACAAAAAGTTGAATTCAAAGATTATTATACTTGTACTCAAAGGATTTATTAGGCAGGGCTATATTTGTAATGTGTGATTTATTGGGTAAAATTGTCAAAATTCATAACAATAAAATGGATAGTTTTTAAGAAACACATCCTTTTGATATTAATATATTACTCTTAATAACAAGTCGATAAATTAAGACCATGCCAACCAAAAAACACTGGTTTGAAGTTATACCCATCTGTCTTTGAAAAGTTTATTTAAAAAAAAAACAAGATAATTCACGCTTATAAAGTGAGTGACAAATATCACTAATCAGCTATATATCGTACAATACGGTGTGATCACATTAAAATTTCATTGTTTTTTTCTGATTCAAATTCTTTGAGTGAAATTGGCAAGTGTAATCCTTTCATTGCCTATTATCAAATGATACAAACATAGTTTGACTATTAGGTCCTATAGATCGATTTCGTTTGAAGACCGAGAAGACACTTGTATTTTTTACTGACCAAGGACATGGTTAAAGTTTTTAAAGATGGGTTTCCTTATTTTCATTTTTGTTTATCCAGACTGTACATGGACATTTATGATTTTTTATAACTCTTAATTATATACAATAAGAACATAATACTATAATTAAGAATACATGATAGTTCATTAGAAACACCAATTAATCAAATATTTTGCTTAATTTGACACTGAAAACTAAGGAAACCCATCTTTAAATTAATAAGCTGCTACCGAAACAAATGCATATATACTTGACAACTAACTAACTAAATTATGCCTAGATTTTAAAACTCTATTGATTTATGTTAGCCGCGAAGAGATAATTATTTATATGAGTTTTTTGATGGATTGATCGGCGAAAACAATTTAGGTCATGTAATTACGGACAGTTTAACCATAGAACTATAATCTAAATGGACATGTGGACGTATATTGCCCTCGCCCTTGTCCGTCGGTCCGTTCACATTTCTGGTAGGCGCGATAGAGGCTACAGTTTTTATCCGATCTGGATGAAACTTGATATTCATGTATATATTGATGAGATCTCAGTCAAGTTCAAAATTGGTAATAATCGGATGAACGGTTTCAGAGTTATTGCCCTTGACTTAGTAAAAACGCGTCAAATTTACTTTGTAGGCACGATAGAGACTACAGTTTTCATCCGAACTTGATGAAACTTGGTATGCATGTATATATAGATGAGATCTCGGTCAAGTTCGAAATTGGTAATCGAATCAACAGAGACATTGTTCATGTTTGAATGTGATGATAACTTGATGAACTGTTTCAGGTTTTTGCCTTGACTTATGGATGATTTTAAGATTATTTGAAAATTTACTATTAAGCCACTAAAGATTTTGTTATCATTCTGACAGCTGGTAGTGGGCGTATGTTACCTTGCCTGGCAAGCTATTTTTTAGTTATAAGTTTACTGTGGTGATTGTAAGCAAGTTACAAATAACGATGCTATTTCATTTATATAAAAAAATGAACTTCCTGAGCATTTAAAATATATGATTGACACCTTGGGGTGTTGTCAAACTAGGCGTAGGTTAACCACAATTATTTATATGGAAGTTTTATTACGATATATGATATTTGAACTTTTATTTGATGTAAAATTACGGTTTCCCTTTTGTGCAACAGGCCCCAATTGTATTATCAAATAATTTGAATTCTCTAATTTAGAGGATTTATAGGCGGGGGAATCATATCATTTCAGGTATTCAATTTTTAATCACTGGATCGATTTTGTTTTACTTGTTTATTTGTTCTCCTAAGGCGAATACCTGAAAAGTACATAAAACACAATTTCGAACTTGGTCCTCAGGCTGTTCATCGTTCGCCATCGTCTAAAAGTGGCCAACAACCCACGCACTATCAATAACAGTTAATGTCTACAAATTAACGGATGGAAATAATACATTATATTGTAAATATTATACACAATCATTGGTTGTCAAATATGATGGATGTCCTCTAATTAACAGACAATGGTTTAATTTTTTAAATGTCACGGCTTGTGGTTTATCTCATTCCAAAAAAAAACCATAAAG